GGGTATCTTATGATAACCAAATTAAAGAAATACTTCTATTAAAGATATCTTCCTCGTGGACTGCGAAGTCTCAGTGAGTCGTGAGATTTTCAATCTCTTGAATGAATTCATTCTTTTTTGTTGACAAGTTTGTTATTAGGGGTTGGATTTTACATATCTTGGGGAATCTTTGTTTCTCCACATGATTTCGCTTGGTGCTTTGAAATCATGATTTTGGCATATTTTCAGTTTAATTCCTCCTCCTCATCTCCCAGCAATTACAGCATAAGCAGTAGTATAATTTGTTTGAGATTAAAAAATCGCTTCTTGAGTCTGTTCGGTAATATCTAATTGAATTTACATGTTTTGTGTTGAGTTTGTTTTTTTTTGGCTTGAAGATCGTTCTGCTGCTAAATTAATTAACCCAAGAAGAGATGCATCTATGGCCATCATTGAAACTTCGAAACTCTTTCAAGAGCTCTAGCAAGAAGAGATTCCAAAGGGAACAAACTCAAAGCAATCGCCAGAAACTCCTCGGAGGAGAAGGCCACCATGAATCTAGCCCCGAGGTCTCATCAGGCTGTTTCGCTGTTGTTTGCAGAGATCTTGCCATGCTTCTCTCTTGCTGCGGAGGTATGACCTTTGAGCATTATATGCAATCCCCCACGGCTCATCTCATCCGTATTTTTGTACATCTCATCACTAGTGTGGAGATCCTTGCCACTTAAATGGGAAGAATCAAACACATTTTCTTCATATTAACTCGTGAAATGGTTTTATCTTTTAACAGGGAAAAAAAAACAATGGTTTTTAAATTCTTTGCTCTTTCCTGCTTCATCTTTTTTCAGCTTGCATTGATGAGGAAGAGAATCTTGTTGGGGGAGGAGCAAGTGAAAGATACTATTATTAGCCTTAGAAAACACCTTCTCTCAATATGTAATTAGAAATATTGTTTCTATCAACTTTCTGAATTCTATTTCTAATCACATTTATAACTTGTCTTATGAGAATACTCTGTAATATATCAACTTTCTCAACATTGCCTATAGAACTACTCATGATGGCTTGAGTTATCCTGCTTCATCCGCATCTAGGTGATGTGTGGCATGATGTTCACACTGGCTCATAAGTCGCCTGTTTGTCGAGCAATACACACTCTTTTCAATCAAGCATTGTAGCTCAAAGTTTGGCTGATCTCTTAGCTTTGGCATATGTGGTTGTTGTAAGATGAAGCCACAAAGGGGCTTATAAAAAAAAAATATATATATATATATGCCTGCCAAACTCCGCAAACATCTTAGTAAGAGTTGTAGCATAAGTCGGTGACAAGATGATATCCGCCCCAAAACGAAGAGATTGCGAACCTCCACCCTCATGAGGTTCGACTGTCTTCCAACGCGGCCTTTGTTGATTCCCAATCCCAATACCATGATTTCGGAAAGGTAGCAATATTTCCGCTCCACATTGGCTTTTTTCTTATCTCCTATCTTGTGTTTGTGTGCGAATAACGAATATCAATAACTTTTCTTCTTTAAGACATAAAATAAAATAACATATACATGGGTCGTATTCGTATGAGAATTGCAGATAATGGCAATTACATGTGCAAAAGTAAAAGAAACTTGTGTTAAACGGCTGACACAAACGAAAACGAAAACGAAAACAATGTGCTAGATTGCGTTTATAAAACATGTAGGATCCGTTTCAAACTTGGTGTAGGACAAAGATTCTAGTTTTCATCTCTTTCTTTCAATTCTTCTTCTAATCAATAACATGTCTTCAAGTTTACATTTTGACTAGAATACTGAAGAGTTTTCTGTTGCGTCCATTGCTTTTTTTGTTTTTGTTTCTGGTAACAGTAATTGTAGTAGTATTTTCCTAGACGCAACAAACGCTATTAAAAGTTAACTTCCGGTTTGCAACTTTGCAAGATGAAAACGTTTTGGTAAACGATTGGGCATACAAAACAGGGACTCAGCCGACAAAAAGACTAGTAAAGTCGTTTGGATACGACTCCAGAATCCCACTAAATTACGGAAATACCACTGGCGTTTCATTCCTTCCCTCACACTTGCTCGGAGCTCCTCAAGCTGAAGCTCCTCGCTCTTTTACCAGATGCCCTAAAATTATTTCTGATGGAGGCACCTTCTTCTCTGAAGCAGCAGGAGTTCTCTCTCGCATCCGTCACTCATCTCACCTCCCCTTCCGTTTCTTCGTCATCATCCTCTGTTGTAGCTACCTTTTCCTCCTCCGATAACCATCTCCGAATTCAGGAATCTGACTCCGACGACGCTTTCACTTTTGATCTTAGTTCCGCTCAGGTGACTGTCCATTCGCTCATCTTCTGCTTCCGTTTCAGTCGTTTCTTCTATGCTTGGGTTGATGTAATGTAGGAACCAATGATTATCTCTGTTTTTTTTTTTTACTTTGTTCCACCACATTGTTGCTTTTTTCTCTTCGAAATTCAGACACACGGGATAAAGGTTGAGACTTTTTGGTGTTTTCTCGTTTGAGCATTATGTTTGATTCTAATGATTGAAAAACAAAAAAAAGTTTGCGTTATTGGAACCAGTTGCTGTGTTAAATGCTACTGATTGTAATTTCTGCTTTGCTCAGTTGTTCAAGTTGGCGCCGCTTCAGTTCATCTGTGTATCTGAGAGTTTGGATTCCGCAAAAGAGGTACGTGAAATATGTATCTCTTTTGTTCACTAGTTTCCCTTCCTTCTGACTGTTTATGAGATCAACTTGGTTACTACCCGAGTGCGTGTAAGTGGTTAAACTGTTTCCTGATACATAATTTCTTGGTGAAATTATCACTAACCAGAAATCATTCTCTCGAGGAGTCATGATGAAATTTAGGGACGACAAGGAAAGCAAGGATTTTTCTGATTCATTTGAGGAATGGACAAAGGATGCTGTTAAACAAGGTGCCTCTTCAAAAATGTTTTATGTTTTCCTGTAGGTTCTTTCAGAAAAGAAAGATTTTTAGATGCACTGACTTTGTATTAGTGATGTGTATGCTCATTTTCTTCATGAGTTTACTTAAAGAAAGGTTTATACTGCATTGATCATTTTTGGGTTTCCTAATGAATCAAATGTCTCTTAATTGCCACATTTGTATGCACTGTCTACTCTTTACCTTTATCGTTCACCAAATCCTCTTTTCGTGGATCACAATATATTCATGACTTTTGCTCCTAGTCATCCTTTGTTCCACATTCTTTTGTTTTAGGATCACCCTTGCCAAACGGAACAGTTTCAGTTAATAAAGGCAAGTTCGACAATAAGATAGAGGCTGCTTCAGCCAAAATGTATTTCCATTATTATGGACAACTTCTACATCAGCAAAATATGCTACAAGATTATGTGAGGACAGGTAAGACGTCTCGCCTTTGTGCATTGGCTACCTCAGACTTGTTTCACACTTTTTTGTTGGTTTAGAAGGATGTGGAATATCTTTAGTTTTCTCCACTTGGCTATTTGACTCAAGAGTAGCTCTCTTTATGTCATATTACTGTCGTCAGGTACATATCATGCTGCAGTCATGGAGAATCGTTCAGATTTTTCTGGTCGTGTTGTGGTCGATGTAGGTGCTGGAAGTGGCATTTTGTCAATGTTTGCTGCACTGGTATGCAAAAATATAAGAAACTTTGGTCCCAAACACTACTCTAGATCTGAATTTTGCTCCGGTTTTTCTTATAAACGTCCATTATTTTCCCCTAATTTAGGCTGATGCCAAGCATGTGTATGCTGTGGAAGCGTCAGACATGGCTGAATATGCCCGTAAGCTGATTGCTGGAAACCCCTTACTTGCTGAACGGATCACAGTAAGACCTGTGCTCTAGTTTCGTTAATACATCGTTTCGTATATATATCCATTTTTCCGATGATTCTTCAAGTTGGCACAAGTATAGGTCATCAAGGGAAAAGTTGAGGATATTGAGTTGCCTGAGAAGGCTGATGTTTTGATCTCAGAACCAATGGGTATGTGATTCAGAGACTGATTCTTTTCACATGAAAATCAGAATCTTTCATTAGGCTAACTTCTGTCTGTGAGAAAATAAGTGGAGGAGCATCATTACTGATTCAAAGTTTTATTGATTCGTTCGAAAACTATGTCTTATATCTAAGATATCTGTGCCTGTAGGCACCCTACTGGTCAATGAGAGGATGTTGGAAACATATGTTATTGCTAGGGACCGTTTTCTGTCTCCAAATGGAAAAATGTTTCCGACAATAGGAAGGTAAGTTGATCTTCGATGGTTTGACTTTTCTATTTCATAAATGTTTTTTTTTGCTCATGTAACTTTATCACTGCAGGATCCACATGGCACCTTTCTCCGATGAATTCTTATTTGTTGAAATGGCAAATAAGGTACATAATGCTCATCGTATAAGGAAGATGTCTGATAGTTGCTTATAACATAGAAAGAAATGTGGGTTGAGTATGTGATGTTAAGCTCTCAGTAATTAGTCTTTCCACCTCTATACAGGCTTTGTTTTGGCAGCAACAAAATTATTATGGAGTTGATTTGACACCTCTGTATGGATCAGCACACCAGGGTTATTTTTCCCAGGTATATCCATTTACAACCAGTGAATCACTGACTGTAGTTTGCTTGTTTCTTCTTTTACAATTCGTCATATTTACAGCCCGTGGTAGATGCATTTGATCCGAGATTATTGGTGGCTCCCTCGATGTCTCATGTGATAGATTTCTCTCAGATGAAGGTATAGCTACTCTCTTTCAGTTCTACGTTGTTTCGTGAACATTGAGGACATTTTTTGGGTCCTTTTTGGTGAATGACTATGATCCAAACACATTTAGCTCAATTCATTTTCACAGGAAGAACAATTTTACAAGATTGATATCCCACTGAAGTTCACAGCATCTGTGTGTACCAGAGTGCATGGACTTGCTTGCTGGTTCGACGTTCTCTTTGACGGGAGGTATCAAGCCATAACAATTTATTTGTTTTCCTCCTGTACTTAAAGATTAATTTTCTTTTTGCATCATCAAATGTGTACAGTACAAAGCTGATTTGCTCTGTATGCTCAACAGCACGGTGAAAAGATGGTTCACGACTGCTCCTGGTGCACCAACAACCCATTGGTATCAAATAAGATGTGTTCTCTCGCAGCCTATTCACGTCATGGCAGGGCAAGAGATCACTGGTAGACTTCATTTGGTTGCCCACAGTGCTCAGAGTTACACTATAAATCTAACTCTCTCAGGTTAATTTCCCTCTCTTATATCTCTCCTTTTGAATCATATCATCCACTCTCTGACTTAAGTTTCTGATTGGCTTTTTAAACAGCTAAAATGTGGGGGCCTGGTGCCAATCAAGGCGGAATCCTCCAGACATCATCGTGCAAATTCGATCTGAAGGAACCATATTATAGAATGTCTCAGCCACAAGTATACCCTGTTGTACAAGAACCACTGGCTCAATCGCAAGTAAGCCTTTGTTATTGTCTTGATTAGACAATTAGGACATGATCACTGTTGTATGATACACCATTAGACATAGGCTATATCAACACTTTAAAGCCACCAGGATCTTTAAATTTTGCATCTAAGAATTACAAGATGTGTATACACTTTCTTGGTGCAGGACATACAGATACAGAGCGATGACTTGGAAGTAGAGTTACTACAACAGAACGCAAACGCTCAGCTTTAGAGTGCAAGATCCTTTTAGCACCACTGGAACCTTGCCGTTGATTCCACCCACGTCTCTGTATTTTGTGTTTGGTTCCCAAGGTTTAGCTCCGGCCCTTAATTTTCAGACATTAAATCTTTGCGTATTTGTGTCTGGTTAGACTCCATTTAAACTATGTATCACCATTTTGATCCTCTCTTAAGAGCCACACGCAAATGAATCATTCTGGTTTTGGGTATGTAACCAATTGCGTTTCGGGTGTGTACTTTAGGATCATATCTGTATTGGCAAAAGACTCCCAAAAAAGTCGATTTTTTAGAAACCTTGGATAGAATGTCGAAACCGGTTTTTATTTTTATATTTATTTTTTGGCGAACAGGAAAGAACAGATCAACTTGGATTTATTGAGTTTACTGAAACAAAAATGAATTGGTGAATGTGCAATTATAGCATTGGACAAGAGAAGTGTTGCAAATATAGAACAAAATTCAACCTCAGCTGATTACGGCTGCAACAGCAGGCTCAGGCGGATTAGCAACAATGACATTGAAGCAGCGTCCACATAGAGTAGGATGGTCAGAAAATGACCCGACCTGGCCTGAGTAATTCCAGCACCTCTCGCACTTGGACCCCTCAGCTCGTGACACACCAATCCACACTTTGTTCTCTCCCTCCCTGTACTCACCTGTGTGCTGTACACTGCTTATCATCTCCTCCATTGACGACAATACTGCAACCTGTATACAAATCCCCAATAGTTTGGTATTCATTGTGATCAAATCTCAACTTCAATCGAAAATTGTTGATAATATGGTTAAGTGTGGACACTGGACTCATGTCATCAAGAACATTGAGGAATTCTAAATAAACCTCCATATTTTGTTATATTGTAATCTTTTGATCAATAGGTGTATTCATATCCATCTCTTAGGCGTTTAGGGTTTTTCCTAGGATCTCTTCCCATACATCTAATCCCTACATAACTCTACCGCCATTCAGTTACTTTCGTTAACCACTGACTATTAAGCTTTCCTTTTTGGGTCCCAAAACTATATCTAGAATACGCAAAAATTCCCCTACATATTAAAATATGGGTAAAAAGAACCAGACTTAATCAGAAAATTTTCCGCTTTGTGCCTAATCACATATACGACAAGTGTTTTACTTAGACGTGTTCTATAATGAATCTTATGGAGTGGCTATTACGATCTCAGTTGAGATGACTCATTCTTCGACCTGAACCTTACACAGAAAAACCTAGGTTTTTGTTGATGTTCCTGATCAAATTGATTGTATCTTGATCTGTAACTTCAGTGTGAACCTTGAACTTTCTAACCCATCAAGATTTAGTGCTTACCTGTGATGTTATGAATATACGTTGTAGCGTGTCAGCTTCATTATGTGCTTCACACATCTCTAATAATTTTGAAGCCATGCCTGCATCTGCTGTATGCAGATACACCTTTGCTTCTAAACTGGAACCAATCATTTTCCCATTACGTGCGAGCTCCAACACTTTGTTCACCTCAGTCCTCAACTGTCAGGCAAACACCATAACACTTCAAATCATGGCTGAGTTTTAAAGGAAAGAAAGAAAGATCCACCCTTCTAATTTCTGACAGATTTTTTAAATAAAACACGCAGTCTTAAATCATTTGGGATTATAAGGTTCAGTGCTTTGAATTGCTAACTCAAAAAGTTTAATTCTGCAATTGCTATTTCATAAGAACTGATTCAACGATTAGCTTGACATAACACCGAGTCAAATGTTCAGGAGCTTTGATACTTTAACTGTAAGTAGATAATATAGAGATTGGGGGAGACCTGCTGACAGTTTATTCACGTTACGATTTTAGGAGATTTTTGATACCTCGAGAAGCCTTTCCCAGAAGAGAATATCTTCAGTAGGAAATGAAAGCCATTGTTTGTTCAACATAGGCCATTTAAGTTCGAACACAAATTTTGCGGCAGAGCCATCTTCATTTCTGTACTCAAATGGGAGATTCTGCCAGACATCTTCAGCTAGATGAGGTACTATCGGAGCGATCACTCTCAATATGGATACAAGATGTGTTGAAAGAACTGTTTGGCAGCTTCTTCTGGTAAAACTTGAACTGCCCCTGTGAAAAAGATTTTTGTTCCAGATTACATTGAATAGCAC